GTTGGTTGGTTGGTTGGTTGTTTGGTTGGTTGGATGGATGGATGGATGGATGGATGGATGGATGGATGGATGGATGGATGGATGGATGGATGGATGGAAAGCCAATGGGTGTTTAACAGTGGGGTGATAGCCTCTTTGATATACAGGTATATTCCACTGAGTCGGAATACTTACAGCACAAGTTCCAATGGAATATACCAGTATATCCCAGTTACCCTATTTCCCCGAAAATAAGACCCAACCTGAAAATAAGCCCTAGTATGATTTTTTTAGGATGCTCGTAATATAAGCCCTACCCCCCAAAAGAAGCTCCACTTAACTGAAACCCCACTTTCCACCCTTGTGCAGCAACCAGAAGATGACACGACTGTATTTGAATCAATGTAGATGGTTGTACATGAAAAAAATAAAACATCCCCTGGAAATAAGCCCTAATGCATTTTTGGAGCGAAAATTAACATAAAACCCTGTCTTATTTTTGGGAAAACCCAGTAGATACCCGTTGACTTGTTAACCAACCAACCAACCACAATATGTATTTTGATGCCATGTATAAATATGTAAGGTAAAGGTTCCCCTTGACAATTTGTCCAGTCGTGTCCGACTCTAGGCAGCGGTGCTCATCTCCGTTTCCAACCCATAGAGCCAGCGTTTGTCTGAAGACCGTTTCCGTGGTCACGTGGCCAGCGTGACTAGACTTGGTGGGAATACCATTACCTTCCCACTGAGGTGGTACCTGTTTCTCTACTCACATTTTTACATGCTTTTGAACTGCTAGGTTGGCAGGAGCTGGGACAAGTGACGGGAGCTCGCTCCGTCGCGTGGATTCGATCTTACAACTGCTGGTCTTCTGACCTTGCAGCATAGAGGCTTCTGCGGTTTAACCTGCAGCGCCACCACGTCCCTTTATGTACTGTGTTGTATTTCTCTCTTATTATATCTGAGGAAATGGACTTGTATACAAACGCTGACATTAAAATGTAACAGTTAGTCTTTGAGATGCCACGACATTTTTCTCTTTTCCCCCTTTTTCTTTTTTTTTTCTTTTTCTTTTTTGACATTTATAGTACAGAACGCTCACAGGTCTGGTCTGTACCATCTTGCTTTTAGTCAGTGTCCTTGCAAACGTGGTCTTGTGTTCTAGAGATGTTAAGACTGCACTCCTAAATGGACTTACTGGGATGTTCTGCAGAATACAGTGGGACGGCCTAGAAGGTTTCTGTTCAGATAATCGGAACGAGCCAAATCTAATTCCCATGGTTTGTGTGTGCGAGAGTGGAATGCCACTGTGATGGCAACTTGATCAGCAAAAAATTCATTGCTTGTTTGTGGGGGGGGGGAGGAAATCATTCTAAGCAAGAACAAATTATTTGTGCTGTGGTCTACCTCTCTGTTACATTTGGAAGCATATAAAAGAAACTTAAGAAATCCTGATTTGTGGATTTGGGGGCGGGATGGGAGTTTAACTTTTTTGATCTAGCTGTGATGAATATTTTACAAACCCGGCTGTGCAACCCTCTGTTCAACAGGGCCTGGAGGTGATTGAATCGACAAACCTGAAGTATTTTACCAAGGAGATGACTGCCGAGTTCTATGCACTGAAGGGGATGTTCCTAGCGCAGATCAACAAGTATGTAAGAGTGGGAAGAGAGGAGGGTGGGAAGGCGCAGCTGGGAACGCCGCAAGTCAGGCCTTAAGCAAAGAAGGAAATAAGACCATAGAAACGATTGTTCCGGTCTGGGTAGTAGTAGTAATACTCATCATCTACCCCCTATGCAGCCCTGTAGGAGGAATGAGTTTTGCCACCCACTGTGTGCTGTGTTTCCCCGAATGCATCGCATGAAAGCAAGTAACCAGGGACATGGATCTTTCAAAACGATTTGTTTTTCTCCCCTTTCTGGACTTGAACATGGACTGTGCTTAAATAGCAAATAAATCCAGTAAACAGAGATCTTCCCCCCCACCGCCCTCTCCCACTACCTCGCTTCATTACCTACCACCAGTACAGTTCTCTGTTATAGCTAGAAAGATCCTTCCTGGAAATTAAAGCAATAGTTATTGTCTGGCAACTGAATCTCCACCTGTTTTTGCGCCGGAACGCTCATCGGCTCCAGACGGCATAGCCTTGTGGTTACAGGAGTTTTGATCCAAAAATGGCTAGAGGACGCCCAGTGGAAGGAGGTTGTCTAGGGCAGTGGTTCTTAACCTTTGTTACTCGGATGCTTTTGAACTGCAACTCCCAGAAACCCTAGTCAGGACAGCTGGTGGTGAAGGCTTCTGGGAGTTGCAGTCCAAAACTCCTGAGTAACCCAAGGTTAAGAACCAGTGGTCTAGGGCAAAAGGACTGGAAGCCAGTTTGGGGGAGGGGGATGGTGATTTGGTTGGGAAATTGGATGTGTTTGTAAGAAGGACTTCAATATTTTGGGTAAGGATTAAGGGTGAGACCCAGGTTTGCAAGGCTGTTGTTGAGAATCACATTGGTAGGATGTGATTTAGTGGTTGTTTAATGCTTACAAAATGTACGGGGAGATAGATTAGATAGATAGATAGATAGATAGATAGATAGATAGATAGATAGATAGATAGATAGATAGATAGATAGATAGATAGATAGATAGAAGATAGATAGAGAGATAGATAGATAGATAGATAGAGAGATAGATAGATAGATAGATAGATAGATAGATAGATAGATAGATAGATAGATAGATAGATAGATAGATAGATAGATAGATAGATAGATAGATAGATAGATAGATAGATAAAGAGTGGACAAACATATGATTACTGTAGGACCCCTTTATCTGCAGAATCAATATCTGCTATTCATTTATCTGCTGCCTGAAAAACTAAATAAAAAACCCTCAGAAATACATATTTATAGATATTTCCAGAGTGTATTTACCAGAACAGGCCACTAGAAGGAGCCGGAGACCATGCAATGTATAGTATTCAATACTGTACTTCCGCATTTTTCAGTATAGATACCGCAATCCTACCAAATCTAAATCTGTTGTTTGATTCCTGGGCATTAAACAGACGTCTCTGTGGTCTCCTTTATCAGAGATTTAAAAAATGAGACTGAGATCAAATAGAGAGTAGAAGAATGAGCTTTATTTCCTGCAAAAGTTGCATTTTATTGCAAAATGGAAGCTTCAGAAGTAATAACTTCTTTTTAAAAAGCATATACAAAAGAAGATGGGCTGCTTAAATCTTGTTTTACCCATCATGATGTATAGATCAGGAATATAAGAGTGAGGTGGGCTTTCCTTTGGATCCGTAATAGTGGATTACTCTCGCCACGAAGGATCTCATTTCCTCTTGAGTGCAGAAATGCATCTGCTCATACTAGCCGTCGGTTGACTCTTGCCGTGGTCTGTGAGCTAAGCTTATCAGAATCATTCCAGACTGAACTTGAGGCAAAGTACGGCGAATGGTCTGATGAGGATGTTCGCTGCCATTCTGGTGGAGCCACTTCTGAGGCCAAAAAAGGAGAGAGAGAGAGAAAAAAAAATCTCTCTGCTGTCAAAATAGATCTTCCTCAGCTTCACAGTTGCTGACGGCAGATGTGATCACGCTCCTCTCCAGAGGAAACCTAGAGAGAATTTTAATAGGGGAAAGGTAATTAATTTAGCAGAGAAGGTATGACTGCAGGTCCTGGTTCAGAAAGTTTTTTTTCACCCTTTTTCATGAAGACGGGTGGGTTAAATAACTACAGATCTCCTGTCCATGATTTGCACAGAAGATGGTCTTCCAGAGCTAGCTTTCACTATCCTCTTGTACATATCCAAGCTTTATAGTAGAGCCAGTTCTTCCCATTTTGTGTATTCAGAATGGATGTCAAAGGTGGGTTGATGTGTGAACCTTTCCTAGTTGTTACCTGGCCTGAGACCCCTAAGATCACTTGCCCAACGGACAGATTTTCCTCCTGCCTTCTGCTCGGCCGACCTGCCAGGCAGCTGGAAGGGAGGTCCGTTCTGGGAGGTGTTCGTGCTGGTGGCTGTGCTAAATAACTCAAAAAGAGGCAGCGGAGAAGTGGGAAGAATAAAGACCAAAGCCGTTCTTAGCAGCATAAAAACAGTAATAAGGCAAGGTCATTAGCTGCCTTCTCCTTGCTTAATAAGGTGCCATACTGTGCCAGCCTAGGACAGAGAAAGCTGTTGCGGGCGGGGGGAGATGAAGAGGGGGCTGAGTAATTCCCAGGCTAATTAGCTGTTTAATAAGCTATTTGACAGATAAGGTTATTTTCCATTTGCCATGTCTTTTTCTGGGTCCCATCAATTTTTTTATGGCTGTAGGCTGTAGTTGCAGGTTAGGTTGAAACTTAATGAAAATTGAGAGGGGCTGCGTGGATGGGAAGGAAGGAGGCATACAACGTTTCCTGCTTCCCGTTTCTCTGCCGAGATGGAATGACTGATGTCTATTTTAGCCTCTTGCTTAGAAGGGAGAGATGTGCAGATGCTCAGTGAACTGCAGAAGATCTGCATCAGAATCGTGGTCCATGTCAAGCAGTGAAAAGCGTGAATGTATTTCATCCACGATCCTAGCTTTTTGTTCAAGTAATTGCATACCGGCCTTGGTTAACACATTTCAAGGTGCCCTACGGAATTCAGGAACACAACACTCGCACAGAAATGCAGTACAGTAGGACCCTCGTATCTGCAGGATCGGTATCCGCTAATGGACTTATGGTCTGAAAATATTAAAAAGAAGAATGTTAGAAATCTATATTTCTAAAGGTGAAGTTACAAGAACTGGCCACTAGAAGGAGCCAGAGACCATGATATGTATAGATATCAGTAGTAGAGTTTGCTATAATCCACATTTTTCAGTATTGGTGGGAGGGTTGGAAGAGGTCGGCCGTACTGAGGTAGCACTTTCTCTGCTGCTTATTAGCAACATGAAAGCCGCAATCTGAGAAGCCAGCCCAAAGCACTTTATTCGCTGCTCCCCGGCTGTACTGTCAAGAGAAATGGCTGATGGCTTTCAGGGCTATGCAAGGCAAATCTTGAGAGCCACTGGATATACATTGCAGTTGTAAACTTTTTTTATTTATTTATGTTATTTATTTAAAACATTTTTTACCCTGCATCTTTCCATAAAAGGACCCACAGCAGCTTACATCATTAAAAAAAAAGAGAGAGCTAAAAACAAGAAATGATTTCAAATGTTAAAAAATAATTAAAAATAATAGCTTTCCATATAAAAACACATGGAAGAATGTTTTGAACCTGTTAGGTTTACATTTAACCATTTATGAAGCACCCTGTTCTTTTAATTGATTTATGAATGAATTCTCCTTGCGGGTAATATTTTTCCTGATGCATCTAGGAATTAGAAAAATACCAATAGAAAATAAAATACAAACAATGCATTTTTAGGAAAAGGAAGAAGCGTGCATTTCCATTTGCATCACAGAGATAGATGCTTTTATGACTTCTCCCTAAAAGCCTTGATGGCTCTGTTTCGTTCGCTTTGAGTCTGTTTGCGCCGACTGAAGTGCTGTGACCTTTCGGTCCCCTTCCACCCTTCTCCAGGTCCGAAGAAGCCAACAAAGCTTTCTCCGCGGCCGTCCAGATGCATGATGTCCTCGTGAAAGCCTGGGCGATGTGGGGTGATTACCTGGAAAACATCTTTGTGAAGGAGCGCCAGCTGCATCTCGGGGTCTCGGCGATCACTTGCTACCTGCACGCCTGCCGCCATCAGAACGAGAGCAAATCCAGGAAATATTTAGCAAAGGTGAGCAGCATCAGGAGGGACATGTTGGTGCAAAGGCGTGTTTCTCCCTTGCGTGTGTGTGTGTGTGTGTTTATGCGTCTGCAGAGCAATAGATCAAAGCTGCTGCGTTTTTTTGCCTGACATACAGATTCTCCTTCTGGATGTGGGCTGTTGTGACAAGGACACGGATACAGCGCGTGTTGTGCGCATTTTGAACACTAGGCTGGAGGCTTCAGCAAATGTTGGAAAGCATAAGCATTAAATGCCAAGCCCGGCTGTCAAGGGAAGTCAGCGTAATTCTTGCACAGACCACCGGCCTCTTGCGTTCCGGCAAAGTTCATTAGAGTTCATGGGGACGAATGTGTCTTTCATTCTGAGACGGTGTTGGGCAAAGCGCAGACGTGGCTGCCTTGGCGGGCTCCATTTTGGGGTCCTCAGTCACGCAAGAGAAAAGGATTCCTTTTGAAAGGTTCCCCAATAAACACTTTGCTCTTAGCTGAAGTTGGTTTGGGTTTAGTACTGGGGAGAGCAAGCTGCTGGCAGCTGTCGGCCGTGCAAGAAAGCAACCGGTATGTTCATGAGGAGGGCAGATGGGTAGCCGGTGGCTTCCATGTCCCGTCCGTCTTGACAGCTTTCCCTTTTTTAAATGATTATTTTATTTAAAATATTTTTGCCCCACCTTTCTCATGAAAAAAGGATGCAAGGTGGCTTAATTGTAGAAAGACAATATTTGAAGTTGAAAACAAGGAGTATACAGTGGTGGTTTACATCACTGAAAGCTAATATTTAAAGCTACGAACGCTGAAAGCCAATATTTAAAGCTGAAAACAGTGAGTATAAAGACTCAACTTACATTATTAAAGTATAACATGAAAGCTAAAAAGAGGAAGTATACGAATAATGAAAAGGAAGAAACAAATACCAATCTGAGAAATGGAAAATCGTTGCTGTTGTTTAGTCGTTTAGTCATGTCCGACTCTTTGTGCCCCCATGGACCAGAGCACGCCAGGCCCTCCTGTCTTCCACTGCCTCCCAGAGTTTGGTCAGATTCATGTTGGTCGCTTCGATGACCCTGTCCAACCATCTTATCCTCTGTCGTCCCCTTCTCCTCTTGCCCTCACACTTTCCTAACATCAGGGTCTTTTCCAGAGAGTCTTCTCTTCTCATGAGATGGCCAAAGTATTGGAGCCTCAGTTTCAGGATCTGTCCTTCCAGTGAGCACTCAGGGTTGATTTCCTTCAGAATGGATCGGTTTGTTCTCCTTGCAGTCCAGGGGACTCTCAAGAGCCTCCTCCAGCACCACAGTTCAAAAGCATCAATTCTTCGGTGGTCAGCCTTCTTTATGGAAAAGAGTAGTAGTACTTAAAAAAAAGTTAATGCATAACAATCCATCTAAAAATCACGCTCAGTCCAAGATGGAAGCCTTGCCTGAAGAGAAAGGTCTTTGGTTGCAGAAGGACAGCAAAGATGGGGCCTGCCGGGCATCCTGTGGGAGGGAGTTGCATACTCGTAGTATAATTTCTCTATGTGAATATATGTGGATTCCTGATCACTTTCTCCTTCCGTCACTCTCTGCCTCTTAAAGAATCCCATTTCTCTTGTTGTGCTGCTGCAGTGCGAGGACAGCCCTTATTGTTCTCTCTCTCTCTCTCTCTCTCTCTCTCTCTCTCTCTCTCTCTGTGTGTGTGTGTGTGTGTGTGTGTGTAAACTAGCTCTCAGGACCGGGCTGTTCAAAACCAGACATGACTCTGTTTCCCCCGGAATGGATTCTTGGAACAACGAATCTAGTTTTTTTTCCCTGTCAAACAGTATGTATGCTGTATTCACAAAGGCTTTCATGACCGGCATCTAATGGTTGTTGTGGGTTTTTCGGACTCCTTGGCCGTTCTGAAGGTTGTTCTTCCTGACGGTTTTGCCAGTCTCTGTGGCCGGCATCTTCAGAGGACAGGAGTAGCACTCTGTGCTCTGGTGCAGTTTGTTTGGGAGTTGAGTATTTATAGCTGTTGGATCAGCTTTTGTCCTTTTCAGGAGATGGGTGATATGGTAGATCAGTGTGTTTTTGTTGCGGGTTTATTGTACATGCACCCACAACATACACCCACAACAAAATGTGCATACACCCACAACAAAAACACACTGATCACCATAATCACCCATCTCCTGAAAAGGACAAAAGCTGATCTCACAGCTATAAATACTCCACTCTCAAGCCAACTACACCAGAGCACAGAGTGCTGTCCTCTGAAGAGGCCGGCCACAGAGACTGGTGAAATGTTAGGAAGAACAACCTTCAGGACACAGCCTAAGAGCCTGAAAACCCCACAACAACCAGTATATATGCTGCTGCTGCTGCTGTTCCAGCAGCCTTGTGAGGTGCGGCAGACGGAATGGCCCAGGAACACCTTAGTGAGTTTCTCGGCTGCACCTGAAGCTTCTGAGCCCCAGTCCAAGACTCTGCTTCCCATACAACACTGGCGATTCACTTACCCGAACGAGAAGTTCATTACAGTTATTACTGTGCTTCCCATTTGAAAAAAGTCTAAACATGTCTAGAAACATCTCTCTCACACACTGTACTGTCTTGAGATGAAAAGTTAATAATAGATTCTGGCTGCTGGTGCCTGCACTGTGGTTGAGCTCCCACTTAAATCCAATTTTTTTTAAAGTGGATGTGATTCCAAACCCCCACACACACACACACTAATTCTTCACAAAGAACTGTCGTACTGCCTTGTATTTAATGCTCCAGAGTCCTTTTGACGAGTCGCCAAACCAATTCAAAGGTCGTTCTTCAGCATTGCGAGGGTTTCAAATCGGACATACTTAGGAATGTGTTTTTGTGGCTCTGTAAAACGAGTCAAGACGAAAATCCAGTTTTCTTGCCTCTTTGCGCCCGTGTTTGAGAAAGCACCTTTCTGCCGGCTTCGCTAGGAAGCCAATTTCAACCCTGCAGCTGTTTCATATCAGGTTGTGCAAACATTGTGTAAAACATTCATAGCTTGTAAACACAGGAAATGAATCTTCCTGCTGCGGTGTGTGCTACTGTGTAGAATATGTCCTTACGGTTCCAATAGAATATCCTAAGGTGATCCTGTCCAAAGACCTCTGATGTTATGGGCCAGGATATGCCTTTGATGTTATGGGCCAGGATATCCTTTACATACATCTTGATTTAGATCCACAGCAAAAAGTGTGAATGGGGAATTCGTGGGCCAGCGAGTGTTGTGACGGGAGCACAGCTCTTTACTGTCTCTCCCAGTTGACTATGCTGGCTGTCCAAGCAACATCTGGATGGGGTCCATGTGCGACAGGGTTGGGTTCTGAAGTTTGGAATCTCCAAAGCTAATTTAAAGGGCATGCCTTGGCAACAGTCGCATCGGTACATTTAGATAGGCTACATTACTTATAAGTGCTTGGAAACATTACTTTTCGGGAACTACAGTTCCCAGAATTCTCCAGACAGTGTTACGTCATCCTGGGAGCAGCCATCACAAAAAGGACCACTGCAGTAGTTTGGGGTTTGTAGGCAGAAAGGAAGAAAAGTGCAGCTTTTAGGATTTGGAGTCTAGAAATGTTAGTGTTTCCAGGATCTAGACATCTCGTGTTGCCTGCTAGAGTTTGCTAGTGGATTAAGAAGTTCTCTTTCCATAGGTTAGGACCTGGGGAGCTGGTGAGAGGTCACTTACGGAAGGGGGACACAGGAAAGGGGCTTCTCTGTGGCTGCTCCCAGACTCTGGAACTCCCTCCCACTGGAATTTCGGCTGGCCACATCTTTGCTGTCCTTCTGCAGGCAGGCAAAGACCTTTCTCTTCAGGCAGGCTTTCCCTGAATGAAGGGTTGCCTGAGTGGGGTTTTTAAATGGATAGTTGCACCTTACTGCTTTTAATGTATTTTAGTGTTGCATTTACTACCTTGACCCTACCTGATCCCACCTGATTTCAAACGATGAGCACGGTTGAGTCTTGTTAGTACCTTGGCCGGAGATCCTGCCTGAACCCCTGGAACGACACTGCCTATCAGAGTGGTTGGCCTTGGACCCAATGGACCAGGGGTCTGACTCAGTAATACGTCTCTGTGTTAAAATGTAAAAAGTCGGGTGGAGTGGGGTCTGGCTTCTCCCACTGCTACAGTCGTGGCAGCAGGTAGATGCGGCACTCCGTGTACGACATGGAGACCTTTATTTTCCCATTGTTCTTTCTGCCCAGGATGTGATGCTAGTGACTCCTGCTCTCCTCTTTGCTTTCAGGTCCTCTGGCTGCTGAGTTTTGACGACGACAAGAACACCCTGGCGGATGCCATTGACAAATACTGCATTGGCGTGCCTCCAATCCAGTGGTTGGCGTGGATCCCGCAGCTGTTAACCTGCCTGGTTGGGTCAGAGGGCAAACTCCTATTGAACCTTATTAGTCAGGTGCGTTGGCCTTACCGCGGGAGATTGGGGGGGAGGGGAGAGGGACCCATGGACAGAGCCAGTTGGACTACAGCTCCCAGAATGCCCCCACAGACCATGCTGGATGGGGATTCTGGCTCTTGTAGTTTAGAATCACTGTGCCAAGCGCTGTGTCTGGATCCTTGTTTCGTATGTGTTTGTGAACAGATACACTTTCTGAAAAGGTGAGTGGGAAGCTATGGGTGGGATCCTGTTCCACTGACTGTGCAATGAGAAGGACGCCATAAGCAGTGGCAGACGGCCTCAAATGGATGCCTTCCTTTTGCGATTTTGCCACACTGGATGACTCAGTTGCATGTTCTCCACAATCACAAAATAATAGCAGTGTGCTGTCAAGTCAGTTCTAACTTATGACTTTTTTCAGGGTTTTCTAGCTGGGGGAGTACTCAGAAGTCCTTTGCCATTCCCTTCTCCTTGGCACATCCCTGGGACGGTGCAGCTGGCCCAAGGCTACCCAGGCTGGCTCTCCTCCCAGGAGCCACAGTAGGGAATTGAACTCCCAACCTCCGGCTCTATAGCCAGATACTTAAGCTATCCAGCCAGTTTTAAATAATAATAACTGTGTGCCATCTGGTCAATTCTGAACTATGGCCACACTTTCCACGGTTTTCCAGGTGGAGAAGACTCAGAGGTGCATTCCCATTCCCTTCCACTGGAGGCACTCTGGGACTGTGCAGCTGGCCCAAGGCTACCCTGGCTGGCTCTGCTCACAGGAGGCACAGCGGGGATTCGAACTTGCCACCTTTGGCTCTGTACCCAGAAGCCTAAGCTATCCAGCCGGTTTCCAAGATCACCAAAGGAAGGCTTGATTCAGCGCTGGCGTGCTGCTGCCGAATGGTCAGATGATTGCTCTCATTCAGGTTCTGCTTCTAGAAGTGCTGCGCCGTAGAAGGGCTGTAAACATTTCCCCTCCCCCTCTAAGGCTGGATTGTGGGAGAACGGAAAAAGAAATCCAACAGCCAGCTAGAAACATTTCCTGTAGTCTGTTTGGATTAGACGTTAGGGCCATAATGTGCTCTCCCTTCTGTGCAAGTTGTGCTACAGCTGGCATCCATGGACATGATAAAGCGACGGATGTTGCGCCGTATGCTTTACTGCTTGGCATTCCGGTACGACAAGCCAGGGAATGCCAGGCACATCTGGCTTCCTGGAAATAGGGGTGTCCCTTAGCCGTGATCATCTTAAGGCTGTTTATTTTAAGGATACCTGAAGCATGGTTTGCTTTCACTGGATTGGGACGGTGGTCTCAGTTTCTTTATTTATTTTTGATACTTATATAACACCCGACTTTGTGACGCACACCACTCTGGGCGGTTGACAATAAAGATTAGAAAATCAACCCTCCCAAGCGGAACACCTTCCAATAAACCAACATCACCAACACCAGTAAAAATTAAACCCAAGATATCCTCGCGGTGCGGTGGTTAAACTGCAGGACTGCAGCTGAAACTCTGATCACAACCTGGGTTCAATCCCAGGTAGCCGGCTCCAGGTTCACTCAGTCTTCCAGGCTCGCGAGGTTGGCAAATTGAATACCCAGCTTGCTGATGGCAGGGAGAGTTGGGGAGCAATGTGTCGCTTGCATAATTAAAATGTAAACCACTCAGAGAGTGCTTTAAGTACCACACCTTTTTTGGGGGGGGGCACAAACCCAAATGATGGCAGAACAGGTGACGCAAATCCACAACTGTTGCAGAAAGAGGGTTGTCCTTTAAATGCTTCTTTTAAAAGTTCGATCTTCAGCATCCTCTCCAAAATTGGGTGGGAGGAGGCCAGGTAGATCCCATTCCATAATGATGGAGGCATCGCCTAGCGGAGATCTTTTTTGCCTCTCTTGGTAGGACTCTCTTGGTAGGACTCTTGCAAGAGTACGGCCTGGGAGGACTGGGTGGCACAGGCAGAAGTTCATTGGAGAAGATACTTCAAGAAGGAGCAGGGTCCCAAACCCTTAAGGGCTTGATCCAGTAGTACCAAAAAATCCAGTCTGGTTCAGAAAAGAACAGAGAGACGATGCAGGCAAGCCAGTCCCGTTACTTCCCTAAATAGCTAGTCTCTTCTTTAAAAGGAACAGTTCAATGGAAGATGTGGATGTTTGTGGTTTTTTGAGTTCGCCTCCCACAATGATCTGGGTGCTGTTCCTCCGGAACCACAAATATCATCATCCTGTTAGAACTGCAGAGCTGGAAGGGGCCTTAGAGATCATCCAGTCCAACCCCTGTCAAGCAAGGCCCAGTGGGGGAATCAAACTCCCCAGCTCTGTCTCCGCAGCCAGATGCCGAAACCACTGGGCTATCCAGCCATTCTAATAATCCCCCTAAACCACTGAGCTATCCAGCGGTTCTAATAATCCTGGAACTGCAGCGCTGGAAGGGACCCTCTGGATCATCAAGTCCAGCCCCAGGCAACTAGGAGTGGGGGGGGACGGGGAATCGAACTCTCAAATTCTGGCTCCGCAGCCAGAGATCTAAGCATATGACTTCTGGCTCTGCAGCCAGAGATCTAAGCATATACACCTCTAATTTCAGTGCGCAAGAGACAGGGACAAAGCACTCTCTTCTGTTGGCTTGCTCTCGGTGTTGTTCAACTGCACAATTTCCACTGATCTCAGGTGGCTTAATGCAGATGGAACTTAATTCATTGCAGACCATTAAAGTTGTAGCCTGCATCCTCGTATAGCTGCTCAAGGCGTGCGTGTGTGTGTTTGTGTCTATTGAGAGGGGGAAAGGATGTTAAAGAAGAACTCTCTCCACAGCTGATCATCTGTCTTGCCTTGTGCAATCTGAGCCGATAAACGGTTTCCTTCCTTTAATAGACACCGAAACCGATAGATTTAAAGGCTAAAAGGGGGGGGGGTGCCTTTGTGTGTGTTCAGCAGTTTGCCTTCTGGAGGAGCCGAGAAACCTCCGCTTGGTAAAAGGGGCACCCCATCCCATTAAACAGCCGTTTTTCATCCTGAGTGCGGCAGTTTTGTGGAGTAAGGTTACGCTCTAATGGGCCCAGCTCACAGGCGGTGCTTGGCTCGTTGGGAATTGTGGTCTTATTTAAAGACTAAATTGTGTCGTCTTGCGTCTCTGCATCAGTGAGGCTTTTTAAGTCTTTGGCCTGCACTCTCATTTATGCAGATGCTCGGCTTACAAAGGAGCCTGATAGAATCTTGGTCAGGGTCTCTTGACATGGCAGTCGAGGAGAACTGCACCCCTTTTGGAGTTATATTATGTTAAGCCTTTCTCTGGATCCGGCCCCAATTGGGGAGGGGGGAGCAAGAGAGAGAGAAAAAAACACATCGTGTGCATCCCCCACACCCCATGCTTCTGTCCTGCTTCTGGCACCAGGTAACTGTATAGCAGCCTTAGTACATTAAATAGGACATAAACTGGGCATAGAGAAAGTGCCATCCTCCAGAATGGAACTGCAGCTTCCATCAGTACAAGGCTTTTTTTTTTTTGAGAGGGGGTTTCTTTCTTTATTCTTATCAGAGGGTTGCCTAATTCAAAGTCACGGATGCACGTGAAATACAGGCAAAATCAAAGAGTAATTAAAATGTTCAAGACAAGCAGACCATCTTTGGCCAGATGTGGTTTGAGCTTGAGATGCGCACAGGAAGTTTGGCTCAACTTCAGCCATCGTCCTTAATTGCCAAGGAATAGGTTTCATATAGGAAAGTTTAGGCGTAAACCAGTTGGGGGGTTTACCAGATCATTCATTCATTCATTCATCCATTCATCCATCCATCCATCCATTCATTCATTCATTCATTCATTCATTCATTCATTCATTCATTCATTTCATATCCGGCCTATCTGGTCAATTATGACCACTCTAGGCGGCTTACAACATAAAATACACAGATAAATATAAAAAGGATTATTGCATAATAAACAAATTCAACAAGATAGAAGGCAAACAATAGGCGAAGAGAGGAAAGGAAAATATCAGGAATCATGACACTTCTCTTAAAACCACTGATTTCTGTGTGGGTGTTCTATCACTAAATAGGTCGGGCGAGTCTACCCTCAAGCGGTCTACTTTCCTATCCGGACCCTCTATTTGACCCTGAAGATCGAACAACGTGAGCGCTATAAAAGCGGTAAGCTCCCAAACTTCTTGTCCTGAGTGGCCTGTTCTCAGATTAGCCATTCACATGAGCTGTGGGGTCCTTTAAGGTCAGCTAACAGGCAGAGTCCTTGTTGAACTCACTTATGCTTGTAAAAAGCACTTTACAAATCTGACAGTATCATCAAACAGACCTTGGCTAAATCATAGCTGTTGTTTAGAGAGATGGGCATGAACCAAAAGTTTGTAACGGCTCGTTCTTTGGATGCACTGCTGTTTCTTGGGTGTTCTGGCTTCCATCCCCTGCCTCTTCCAGTGGGTGCCCACTCAGAGGAGGCAGGGCAGGGAAGCCTGGGATGCTGCTTCTTAGTGGGTGCTTGCCGGAGGAGGCAGGGGAGTTGTTTAGAGAGATGGGCATGAACCAAAAGTTCGTAATGGCTCGCTCTTTGGATGCACTGCTGTTTCTTGGGTGTTCTGGCTTCCATCCCCTGCCTCTTCCAGTGGGTGCCTACTCAGAGGAGGCAGGGGAAGGAAGCCCGGGACGCTGCTTCTTAGTGGGTGTCTGCTGGAGGAGGCAGGGGAGGGAAGCCCGGAACGCTGCTTCTTAGTGGGTGCCTGCCAGAGGAGGCAGGGGAGGGAAGCCCGGGACGCTGCCTCTTAGCAGGTGCTTGTCAGAGCAGGCGGGGGGGGGTAGCCCGGGACGCTCCCTCTTAGTGGGTGCCTGCTGAAGGAGCCGGGGGAGGTAAGCCTAGGATGCCACATCTTAGTGGGTGCCTGCCAGAGGAGGCAGGGGAAGGAAGCCAGAGTGCCTGCAGAACAGTGGTGCCTCCAAAGAATGAACTATTATGAACTACTGAACCAGCAGTGTGTGCCCCTCTCTAATTGTTTATTTTTTACAAAATGGATGTGGATTTCTGTTTAATATTGAACACAACTTAATAGCTTTAAAGACTGGGGTAGTTTCTGACTTCTCTGATGCCCCCCCCCCATGTTAGCTTGTTCTGGATCTGATCTCAAATACTTTTGCCTGTAATTCAACACACGCTGGAGATATAGGGATAAAGTTAATAATTATCATCATTCTTTCCTAAATTCTACATCAGTGGGAACATAACGGTTGTCATTTCAACGAGCCTTCTTTGGTTCTCCTGTTGCCTTAAGAGTGGAGCGCTAACGTTTCTCCTGCCGTTCACATTGAAACACACAGACACAAAACGAAGGAGGTTTAGCATCTTCTGGAAACATTTCCCTCCCTATTGTGGAGTTATTTTGGTCTTTCCCCTTTTGTGTGAAGGACAGCTTTGTCTTTCTTTCTTTCTTTCTTTTTAACATAGGTTACAGTAGGACTGTCTTCTTTATGGACAGTCCTTCAGGGAAATGACCGTTCTGGTTAATGTCAATTTAGAGTCTAGTCTGGTCATGAGATTTTATGAAAGGAACGCCTGCTTGGATAGTTTATTTTGGAGATACACTTTCGCTGTCAGTGGCACACCAGTTTTATGGTACCCTCTTCTTTCTTTCTTTTTAACATAGGTTACAGTAGGACTGTCTTCTTTACGGACAGTCCTTCAGGGAAATGACCGTTCTGGTTAATGTCAATTTAGAGTCTAGTCTGGTTATGAGATTTTATGAAAGGAAAGCCTGCTTAGATAGTTCATTTTGGAAATACACTTTCGCTGTCGGTGGCACACCAGTTTTATGGTACCCTCTTTCCCCGAAAATAAGACATACGCTGAAAATAAGCCCTAGTAGGATTTTTCAGCATGCTCCTAATATAAGCCCTACTCCAAAAATAAGCCCCAGTTAAGTGAAAGCCCCCCGCCCTCCACCCTTGTGCAGCAACCAGAAGATGACATGACTGCATTTGAATAAATGTAGATGGTTGTCCATGAAAAAATAAAACATCCCCTGAAAATAAGCCCTAATGTGTGTTTTTTTGGAGCAAAAATTAATATAAGACCATGTCTTATTTTTGGGGAAACACGGTAAGCATCAGGCATTTCAACAGAAGCATAAAGCTAGTTATGTTTTTTTCCCAGCTCGAAATCTACTTGGAAACCTTTTCTCCAAGAATTATATTAAAACTGAAGCAAAAAAAGGGCCTTGTTGCAACCAGTTGCGCCTGTAAACGATTGTGCTAATAACGTGTCTGTAATGTGCAACAAGTTTGCAATTTCTTTTCTGATGTTCAGTGAAATGGCAACTTACTTTCCAGGCTGTGGAGTGCTTTAAAGTATTCATGTTCCTCGTTCATCATGTTCTCTCTCTCTCAGATTCTGGGCAGCAGCAGCCAAGTTCCGTGGGGAGCCAGTCCCATTCGGCTTCGGATCCGGGCCCAATCCGAGCCACGGCTCCCATGTGGCGCTGCAGCCGGATCATGCACATGCAGCGCGAACTGCACCCCACGCTTCTCTCTTCCCTCGAGGGGATTGTGGATCAGATGGTCTGGTTCCGGGAGAACTGGCACGAGGAGGTATCTTTTCAATTCCACCTCTCCCTTGAGTTGCACAGGTCTGAACAGCCCGATTTGGGAGGTACATGGAATTTCCCCCCCAAGAAACAAATGAATACAGTGGTGCCCCGCATAGCGATGATGGTTCATTCAAAAAAAATCGTCGCTATCCAGATTCCTCGCTATGCGGGGCAAAAAACCCCATAGGAACGCATTAAAACATGTTTAATGCGTTTCTATGGGGAAAAAACTCACCGCTATGTGGAAATCCTCCATCCGGCCGCCATTTTCGCTGCCCGGTAAGTGAGGAAACTGCGTGAAAACGCTGCGGGTGGCCATTTTGTTTACCCAGCAGCCATTTTGGAACCACCAATCAGCTGTTTTCTAAATATCGCAATGCGAAAATCGGTAAGCGAAACGCTTACCGATCATCGCAATGCGATGTTTTGCCATTTAAAACATCACAATGCGATCCGTTTTGCAATAGCAAAATCCACATCGCTGTGCGGATTCGTTGTTAAATTTTCCCTAATAGGAACGCATTAAACGGTTTTCCCTGCCCGGAGAGCAAAGAATCCAGATAGCGATGTTAATCCTGGAACGGATTAACGTCGCTATGCGGGGCACCACTGTATTCCAATAAAGAAATCCCAATAAAGAAATAAATACATAAATATTCAATAAATACTGTGCCCTTGGCCACCCAGAACCCTATGAGTTCAACACAGAAGGCATCAAATTGGTCTCCTTGGCCCCAAATACAACATCTCTAGCCTCGAGATCAGGGGTTCATAAGGACCTTTAAGGCTCATTACACACGGTACTGTATGGAAAGGATTGTCAATGTTATGGAGGAGCACCCCGACAGAGAGAGTGGTTCTTTCTCTGTGTGTTAATCCAGTGGTGCCTGACCTTTGGCCGCCAGATGTTTTTGGACCACAACTCCCAGAGGCCTTCACCACCACCTCGGCTGGCCAGGATTTCTGGGAGTTGAAGTCCAAGAACATCTGATAGCCCAAGGTTGAGGGCCACTGCGTTAATCAACTGTTTATGCTTTGTAGGGGGGTCGTAAGAGTTATGCATGGATTTTGGGGGTGGGGTTTAGAGTTATACATCAGTTTTGACCTACACGTGGGTCCAGTGCCCCAGCCCCAGCCTTCTTGAAGGGAGACGTGTAATATGGGGATTTTAAAACACGCCCACCACCCATCCTCTTTGCCCATCCCGTCCTCTTCTACGTGTTGGAGTTTTCCTTCCTATTAAGCTAGAGAGCCATCCATGTGAAGAAGGAATGGCACCTCTGATTTGAGAGAAAGCAGTTCCTTGCATATCGACACACAATTAATATTAATGCTAAATGTGATGAAAAATAAATACATCTCTGCCCAAACGCGATGGGGTTGTGCTGCGCATGCAGAGTCCCCAGGGTTGGGCAGGGCGACATGAATCTCTGCAGGAATCTATGGAGCACAGCGTGCGTATTTTGTTCCTCCTTAAAAGGCCTCTCTTGTCCTCTCCGTGCGTCTGTGTTTTATGGCGCTTAGGTCCTCCGGCAGCTGCAGCAAGGCCTTGCCAAGTGTTACTCGGTTGCCTTTGAGAAAAGCGGGGCCGTTTCGGATGCCAAGATCACCCCCCACACGCTGAATTTTGTCAAGAAGCTGGTCAGCACCTTTGGCGTCGGCCTGGAGAACGTCTCCAACGTTTCCACCATGTTTTCCAGCGCCGCTTCGGAGTCACTAGCCAGGAGGGCCCAGGCGACGGCTCAAGATCCTGTCTTTCAGAAACTGAAAGGACAGTTCACAACGGGTGAGTCCTCCTTAGGTCGTTAGGGGCTCGCTCGCCATTCAACCTATCTCTCGTACCCCGGCTCCTGGGCATGCTCCGTGTTGACCACTAGGGGGCAGGCTCATTGGGCTGAAACCAGGTGTTCTTGGACTGCAACTCCCGGAAGCCTTCACCACTCGCTGTGCTGGCCAGGGTTTCTGGGAGTTGTAGTCTAAAAACATCTGGAAACCCAAGGTTGGGAACCATGGGGTTAAAAGGCGGTAGCTCTAATCAGGCATTCCAACGGCGACAAAAATTAATATGCAAAGAGGTTAATTCAGTATCTTGCCCTGCCCCATTCTGTTGTCACATTGAGCTGGCTTTGTAGATGATTACTTCAGTTTGAAGGGTGCAGGATTGAGTGGAGGCAGGCTTTCACCCATGCTGATTTTTATTCATTTTAACTGCATTCTGAATCCTTGAAAATGGATTGTGGAAATGTTTTTTTCCACCCTAAATTCTTATCCAAAAGAACGGTTGCTGCTTCTTTAAGAAAAGAGTTAAGCAATATTAAGTATCAGTCCAGAATTAGAAGGATTCACACGTAAGAGAGTACAGTGGTGCCTCGCTTAACGGGCGCGCTGTTTAATGACGAAATCGCATAGCGATGAAGATTTTGTGATCGCATTGCGATGTTTTAAATGGGAAAAAATCGCTTTGCGATGATCGGTATGCTGTTTCGCTTACCGATTATCACATAGTGATGATTTTCCAACAGCTGATTGGCGGTTCCAAAATGGCTGCCGGGTAAAAAAAATGGCCGCCCGCTGTGTTTTCGTGCCGATTCCTCGCTTACTGGGCAGCGAAAATGGCTGCCGTATGGAGGATTTCTGCTTAAAGGTGAGTTTTAAGCCCATAGGAATGCATTAAACGGGTTTTAATGCATTCCTATGGGCTTTTTATTTTCACATAGCGACGAAATCGCTTTGCGGCGATTTTTGCTGCACGGATTATCGTCGCTATGCGAGGCACCACTGTACTCGGATTCCTTCCTATTAAAACAAGCCCCAAGCTTGATTTTTCTCATGGTTCCTATCTGAGAAAAGGAAATTGAACAATTTTCGCTTCCCCTTAAAGCTGTTCCCTGTGACATCTAAATACTGGAAGTGGTAGCTTGTCTATAGCAGGGCTGGGGAACTTGTAGACCTTGAGATGATGTTGGACTCCAGTTTCCAGCAGCCTGGACATTGGCAGGGCATGATGGCAGTTATACTTCACCAATCTCTGGAAAGTCATTACCCTGTCACACAGTACGATTTGCAAAAACAAGCCAAGATTAAACCATGCTTTCATATATTCCTCCCCCCCCCACTGACCACAGTTTGAAGTAGTCACAATTTGATGTTGCAAGAACTGTGTTTAGTTGAAAAGTAAAATCTTTTGAAATCCTTGCCAGTGTGGAAGAAGAGGAGGCAAGTTACAGGTAAACCTGGCATTCGTTGCTGCTCCTCATCAAAGCTGAGAAACTGGTTTCTATCCGAACCTAACCCTTTCTGCTGCGGGCCAACGTTGCAGAGTACAGTGGTGCCCCGCATAACGAGCAATTCATTTAACGACAAATCTGCATAGCGATGAGGTTTTAATGTTTTCAATGGCTAAAAATCGCTTTGTGATGATCGGTAAGCGTTTCGCTTACCGATTATTGCATAACGATGTTTAAAAAACAGCTGATTGGTGGTTCCAAAGTGGCTGCCGGAAAAATAAATGGCCGCCCGCAGCGTTTTTGCGCCCTTTCCTTGCATACCGGGCAGTGAAAATGGCGGCCGCATGGAGGATTTTCGCTTTAAGGTGAGTTTTTTGCTCATAGGAATGCATTGAAGAGGTTTCAATGCGTTCCTATGGGCTTTTTTGTCCCGCATAGCGACGAATCCATATAGCGATGATTTTTTTGGAACGGATTATCATCGCTATGTGGGGCACTACTGTATTCTGGAATAATTGGGCACAACAGCATAGCGAGTGACGGAAGTTTCAGTCATCAGATAAGTTAATACATCTACTGTGAAATGTTATGAAATGACCTTAAGAACACTTTTTCTGGGTGGTTACTTGACAAAAGACTTGAATACATTAAGTGCTTAGAAACAGAATTATAAGAAACCATTTGTGGATAAGAAAGTAATTTCCTGGTTACTGTTATGTGTCGTCAAACTGGAATCAAATGATAGCGACCTTAATAAAGCTTTCAAGACAAGTATGATATTTAAGGCGTGGTTCTACCAGTGCCACACTTCCAGGGAGTTTCCATGGCCGAGCGGGGATTTGAGTCCTAGTTCCTCACTCTATCCAGTACAGCACACTGGGGTATCCATAATTTCCTGACACCCCAGGTTTATGGTTAAAATGGGACAGGAATAAGTCTCTTGAAATTCAGCAACTGAACAGTAACGTGGATGTTTCCGCTCAAACTAGCATCTGCAGAGATGACGTAATTGAAAGGTGGATACAGGATGATCATGAAATTACTTGGGTGAATTTTCCTCATTTGAGCTGGATAGGGCGATAGCTACTCTCGGCCTTTTGAAAAGACTGTTTGGAAGGCTTAGTGCCATTACTGTTCACTTTCTATTAACCACTGTTGCTTTCCATTATTTATGGATCAGCAGTACATTAGTGTCGGAGTCCTAACAAGTACCTCTCTTGTGTCATCTCAGCTTCCGTCTGTCCTCTTAGACGGGGGCATATTCTATAAAAGGAGGACATGATGGACGTTGATTCTAAAACTCTGTTGAACAAGGAAGTTTTGCAAAAGTACATTGTTCTTAGAGGTAATTCTCCTCCTCCCCAAACTCAATGGGATTCATGTTGCACAATGAATCCAGCTGAGTTTTGAAATAGGCTCATTTGATTCCCCTACCCAGTGAGGAGCAGCCCACAGAATCATTTCTTAATCTATCCCCAGCTCTTTCTCTCTCTCTCTCTCTCTACACTTTCTGATAGTAAAGAGGTCAAATGTTCATTTGTGTGTGGGTATTTATATAAGTGAATATCAGTGTTTACCTTGTACATGTTCAAGATCAGTCTAAAGCCGAGCACTGGACAGATTTTTTTGGTCTATTTGTTTCATTGTGTTCACATGATGGTATTCTTGTTTTTGTTCCTTTTTTAAACCAAGGGTGCCATTTGGAATGATGATAGCCTGCCATCCATGGTGGATCAAAGTCAAATGGCTGCTGTTAGCAAAGAACATCATTCTCTTGAGAAAAGAAGACTGAGGGGAGATACGATAGGACTTTTCAAATACGGTGGTGCCCCGCTTGACAATTACCTCGTTAGACAAGGAAATCGCTTAACGATGAAGTTTTTGCGATCGCAAAATGATGTTTGAATTGTGTTTTTCGCTTTGCGACGATCGGTTCCCTGCTTTGGGAACCGATTCTTTGCATTACGACGATCAAAAACATCTGATCGTTGGGTTTGAAAACAGCCGCTGGGTGTACAGAATGGCTCCCCGTTGTGTTTAGGAATGGGTACAAAATGGCTCCCCGTTGTGTTTAGGAACGGTTTTTCGCAAGACAGGGAGCTGATGGAGGATCTTCGCTGGACGGTGAGTTATTCAGCTCATTGGAATGCATTGAACAGGTTTTCAATGCATTTCAATGGGATTTTTTATTTCACTTGACGAGGATATCGCTTAACAGCGATTTTGCTGGAACAGATTATCCTTGTCAAGCGAGGCACCGCTGTACTTGAAACATTGTCATACAGAGGAGGGGCAGGATCTGTTCTCAATCATCCCAGAGTTCAGAGCACACAACAATGGGCTCAAGTTACAGGAAGCCAGATTTCAGTTGAATGTCAGGAAAAACTTCCTAACAGAGCAGTATGGCAGTGGAACCAGTTATCCCGAGAAATGATGAGTGCTCCAGTGCATTGGAGGCATTCAAGAGAAATTTAGGGAACCACCTGGTAGATACCCTTTGGTTTTTTTCCTGCACTGGGCAGGGGGTTGGACGCAATGACTTTATAGAGGTCTCTTACAACTTTCTGATTCTATGATTCTATTGTAAGTGGCAGATTTTGTTCAGTCATCCTTGCATGGAAATTCCGAAGGGTCCCGTCACAGCTTCTGCCGATACGTATTGACTGCGTACTCCAGAGGCTCGGCTAATTTTCTTGGATGGAAAAGAACCTGGAAGGCTTCAAAGAATACTGTGTTTTAGAATGTGGACTCAGGGCTTACTCTTTGATTTCATTAGCCAGCTCGTTTATCAAATGTCCGTTTCATTTGCCAAAATCACCATCTGGCGCTCAAGCTCAGCCATGGCAGCAGCAGCCCAAGCCAAATGCTTACTGCCAAAAATGGAAATGCTGATCTAAAAAGTGTTGGGCAGGATCCAGTCGTACAGTTCCAGCGGATCCTGCTGCTTTAGCAAGAACCGATGGTCCCACTTTTCCCCCCGGGCGGTTTGACATGCGTCCTGTGAGAACCAGTTGTGGAAAGTTGAGACGCGCTTGCTGAGCTGGTTCCTGGCCTCCATGCGAGGGCATGGAAATCTTTGCTTCTCCTGGCAGGCAGTTGTGAAATACACCATTGGATCCTGGCCAGAATCAGCAGAGTGAGCCCTTTGAAATGAAAGGAAGCTGTGTGGTGGAATGACTTCAGTCTGAAGGTGGGCTGTGTTGTGGATATTAAAGAAATCGACCTGATTCAGACCGATTAGGATCAGATCTGGGTTGAGGCAGAATTGCCGGATTTGATTCCTGAGCAAAGCTAAGCCAGTCGGATCAATTTTTGTCTAGATTGCAATGGAAATCGGAAGGGTACAAATCTCCTTTTTTATCTTTTTTAATGCAAACTTTAAAGTTTCTGAGTCCAGAGATGCCTGAAGTTAGCTGTCTAAATTGAGATTCATTTGGAAGCCCCATACTGGCCTTCAGATTTCCTCAGGAGATCCCTGCACATCCCTAGTTCTCTTTCTTCCCCAGTTGGAAGAAGGCATCTAGATGCAGTGGTGTCCAACCTTGGCCCTCCAGATGTT